ATTGGATGATATTTATAAGCACGTCGAAGAACGATCAAGAAGACGGAGGCCGCACGACGGAGACTAACTGAGGCCACATTTACCAATCACGTCTCACCTCGTATAACCATTGATTTTTTCGGCAGTTTTGAAATTAAAATTGTTCATTGCACTTTTTCTGTTAGTCCGAAGACGAGTTGGGGCGCCAAACTCGAAAATTCACTCATTAAAGTTACTTTTTATCCCAAATAAAGCCTTCTTCAAATTAAAATTTCTTGGGATGCGTGTGTTCCAGTTTATACGAAAGGTAAATATTTCTATAGACTACCATAAACCCAAAGATTAACCTTATCCCTAGCCTTACCTGAACATTGAAATCGAGTTCACTGAAGTTCAACCCCATTTTATCAGTATTAAGGGCGGTTACTTCTTCCATATCCATGGGAGTGAAGGGGAGCAAGGGGGAGAGGGCATATTAGCAATTCCTACCGTATGTTCAAAAGAGGCCTTGTACATAATTATAAGATAGTTCGCACTGTGGCGTCACTGAATAAAATTGAAGGGTTATACGAATCTGGAAACTCAATATAACGTGTACGTCTATCATTAACCAAAAGCGTCAGCTCAGCTACGCTTAAAGCATCTCAAGTTTGCCGTATAACCTCTTTCAGTTTCTCAGTATCAAAACTTTAACCTCACTGTGTCAAGCTAAAGCCCAACAAAGGATCAAAACGACACCAACACACAGGATCGGGCTCTACGTCCAAACTGCTGATGGATTCGTTGGACTAAACAGGGGGCGTGTGAGCATTAGGATTGACTATCCCGGTGTGAAGACCTGAGCCTCAATAAGACTGTCTTATGTAGAACACTTTACAATGTCTTACTAACGGCAGCTATTGGACAATTGCAATGCTGCAAAATGCAAATAACTAAAAAGAAAAAACGAAACAAAAAGCAGCAGAACAGAGCAAGAACAAAAAGAGCATGGTTTGAAGGTGCGACGCCGAAAACCTAAAAAACGGACTGGGGAAAACAGTAGCGAGCCAAAAAGGCTTCATAAACGGGGGGAGGGGGAGGAAAACACAGTCTCTCTCACACACACACAAGACAGACTTACATCACCCTCCAGGGCGGTTATCTTCTGGGTGGCCTGTTCCAATCGGAATTTGTAGTCCTGAGCCTGAGACCTGGCAGCTATAAGGGGGAAAAAAACCCGAAAGGCTTATAAGCAAACCGTGCTAGTCGCCTTGTTGCACGCCTACGCGGTGGTGGCGGTGGTCTTCCGCGGTTACCAACGCGTGAGTAGGGATGAATAAACACAGTTTTGCCAACCGGATAGAGTAAAGACCAAAAGGACTACTGGCTCAATCTGGTGGATTCTAGATTGAGTGCCTCGGAAATCCTGCTTAGACAGTCAGTCTACCGTATCAGGATTGGTGAATCACATAAGCTGCAGTGGGCTGAACGGGAAACTTCACTCAAGTGTGATTAAACTGATGGCTCCCTTGGCTAGAGCGTGGGCTTTAGTAAGGCCTTCTACTTGGGTTCGAGTCCCACCGAGGTCACCGAGTTTTTTTTACAAGTGCGTGTTTAAGGAATATGAGAACAGCCTAGACACCAAGCTACGGTTGTGCTATGAAGATTTTCACGGAGGCACTTATTCGAACAATGTTACTCGAGTCCCATTATTCACATTTGCCTGAACTGCCATAGCATCATGCAGGAATATAAAATGTGTCCTCAATACTACTCCATTAAAATGTTCAGGACAAACCGAATGCAGAAGCATCCGAAATGACAACTCGCTCGAACCCGGGCCTGGAGAGTATCAGCATTGATTTGATCAGCTGAATAGAGAGAGAATATGGGGCTTGACCAGAAGCCCGTCTCCATACCACCATGGTTTTCAGTCTAAGATTTTGGTGTATTGACCGACTCAAAACCCCCTAGGGAGTCTGCCCCTGCCAGAGGGCGGTGGTCATCTGTGATGCTGTTGACCAGCAAAGCGTACGCGAGGAAGTTTATCACAAGTCTATAAACAGACCTTGAGTTCAGTAGGAGTCATAGACAGCCACGGAGCTTCAAACCATGCTGACGGCTGGAAAAAACAACTACGAAAATCGACTCATGTAGGGGAGAGGGAACCTGGGTGGGTTGAACATCGTAATCATAGGCAAAAACGAGACAGTGCGTTGACGGTCGTTACAATAAACCAATTAAGGTCCGAGTCCATCTGTGTGGATTTTCTACGCTCCTAGCGCTTCCTTAGCGGCCCACGCGATAGATGCGCTGGACC